TCAATAACCTGTAATCAAGGTTAGTTTTTGAAAAAGAAGCAAAAAGTTTTTAATTGATTCTTAATATTATCTCAGTGATTTTTTACAAAATCAGGTATTGTTTTAAAATAATGTATTTTAGTTTAACTCAGTAATGTAATTTTGCCGATATGATCGAGTACGGTGCGACCCTAATGGAAAATTAATTTTAGTTACTTATGTTCGGATAATCCTATGCATTGTAGGCCTAATCATTTTAAAATCATACTTAGCGGTAAATGATCATAAGAATTTGTTTCGTTTCCACTCTGTAACTCTTTAACCCCTTGAAGGATTTTGAAGAAAAGCTGATACAAATGGTAACCACATTAAAAATTAAGAAGACATGCAGAAGTCGATCATGTTCTGGATTGCTCTCTTTAAGGTCAAGGTCATACTTAGGGGTTAAAGGTCATGACTTTATTTCCCTCCTGCTCTGTAACTCTTGAACCACTTGAAGGAACAATTAACCACTTGAAGGAACAATTTAGAAGACACCTGACACAATTATGTTCAAAATATTTTAAAGGAATAGGAATGGATGGATTGATGTCTGTCTAATATAAATATTCATCATTTAAAAAGAGGTACCATGGCAGTTTTTCTGTTGACATCAACCCTATAAGTGAGAAATTCCTGTTTTAAGACACTATTTTTTACTTCAGAAATAAGTTCATGGGCTCCGCCATTTTGGCGTTCTGTCATTCTCGCGAGACAGACGAGACCGAGATTGTGACGTGTAATACCCACTTCCAGTATAGGTGTACACGCTGGTACAACTAAAATATATCTTGATGAAGAACTTATTAGTCTTATTGCGTACATTATATATTATTTATGAAAACATCATAATTGCTTTAATTAATTAATTGAAAACACCGCGACATTAATTATCATTTGTCCGATTTTCAAGCTTGCTGATGATCCCACCACATGATTTAAGCACTGACTGCTTAATTTTCAAAGATAAACCATCAATTTAATTTGGGTACTATGAGAAACTTCTTCAATTTAACGAATTATATCGTTTTATTTTGTTCTTAATTTTTGCTAGACAAGCTGTCGGATTAAGGTACATCGCCGGTCATGTATCTTTTTTTCAGCGTAAAATATCAACTAAATCCAATATGCAGAGATCTGCTGAGGACGCGATTTTCCACCATTGACGCTAAAAATGAGAATCGGGCAGGAAAATCGGCGGCCAGACTAATATCGTATGAAAACAAAACTGTCCATTAGGTTATTTAGGCACCCGGTCAAACTGGTACCAACAGCAACAGGTTGCCCAATTCCCTGTTTTTCCACGTTAGCTACTTACCCAATCCCTTTCCCACACAGATACGCATTTCTACTACTGTGAATTTTAATCTAATAAAACAAAAAATCATAAATCTTCACAATATTTAAAATGATTATTGGTAAATGAAAAAAAAATGTGTTGCTATTTTATGAAATGCTGTTATTTACAGTATAATTTTACAGGTGTGAAACTTGATTTCCCCTAAGGGCACTCAAGTTCACTGATGAAGCATTAAAAAATAGATGTCTATTTCGTCATTAGAATATTTGACCAGGGTGATAAACCAATTCTGGCAACATTGTGCATGATCAAAAGTTCTGTCGGCACAGAGACATACAAGGGGCAATAAAAATCGTCAGTACACAGTGTGACAGGAACATTTGGTGCAAATTAGGAACAATTAAAATGGATAATGCATAGTGAGAACCAGCAATTGTGTGAATAAACTATGCAAATTAGATTTTTGAGCAGCCAATAAAAATGATTTGCCTGCAGTTAATATTAGGCTACGATTTCGATGTAAATAAATACCACACAGCATAATACGTTGACAGACATGTTAACAATTTACTTTTCAAAGAGTTGCTTATATTTTTGAAATGTGCACATCAATTATAACATATGTTCACACCTTTTTTTAGCTCGACTATTCGAAGAATATGAGAGCTAGTGTAGTCGCCCCGGCGTCGGCGCCGGCGTCAGCGTCCGCGTCGGCGTCTGCGTTGGTTAAAGTTTTTTGTAAAGTCAAATATCTCAATTATTACTTGAGATATTCAATTGAAACTTACAATACTTATGTATAGTAACAAGGTACATCAGATTGACAAGTTGGATAACTCTGTCTACAATATTGACAGAATTATGCCCCTTTTTAACTTAGAAATTTTGGTTAAAGTTTTTTGTAAAGTCAAATATCTCAATTATTGCTTGAGATATTCAATTGAAACTTACAATACTTATTTATAGTAACAAGGTACATCAGATTGACAAGTTGGATAACTGTGCCTACAATATTGACAGAATTATGCCCCTTTGGAACTTAGAAATTTTGGTTAAAGTTTTTTTGTAAAGTCAAATATCTCAATTATTGCTTGAGATATTCAATTGAAACTTACAATACTTATTTATAGTAACAAAGTACATCAGATTGGCAAGTTGGATAACTGTGCCTACAATATTGACAGAATTATGCCCCTTTGGAACTTAGAAATTTTGGTTAATTTTTTTTTTGTAAAGTCAAATATCTCAATTATTGCTTGAGATATTCAATTGAAATTTAAAATACTTTTTTATAGTAACAATGTACATCAGTTTGCAAAATTGCATAACTCTGCCTGCAATATTTGCATTATTATTTGCCCCTTTAAAACTTAGAAATTTTGGTTAAAGGTCTTCAAAGATATTTACTTGAAACTTTACACATGCACTTAGGGTCATAATTGTATGTCACTGACCAAGTTCCATAACTCTATCTTGCATTAAGGCTGATTCATATCCCCTTTTTCTACTTAGTCTCTTGGTTAATTTTTACATGCAAGTTTTACATATCTCAATAACTATTCAAGGTATTTATTTAAAACTTCACATATGCATTTAGGGTCATAATTGTAGGTCACTGACAAAGATCCATAATTCTATCTTGCATTTAGGCTGATTTTTCTTCCCTTTTTCAACTTAGAAATTCATGGTAAAGTTTTGCTTGTAAGCTGTTATCTCAATAACTACTGAAGTGTTTGTGCCTTTTTTTGGGACAATTTCATGCATTCATAATAATAAAGCAGTGATTTACTTGATAAAACATCTTAATAACAAGCCTTTGTACCTTTCTGTCAAATTTATGTATTCATGGGTAATTAGTATTATTATACTCAATAAAACACCCTTGTGACATTACCTTCCGAATAGTCAAGCCAATACTGTATAATTAGACTCTCTCTAAGGCCTATAACATGAATTTATCCAAAAAAAATTAGCCCTTTTTTGTGAACTTAAAAAATTTAACATTATCAAGGCTCTTTTACTATCAAGCACTTAGAATAGTCGAGCATGCTGTCCTACAGACAGCTCTTGTTTTTGGATATTGTTACGTATTTTGAACCATAAAAAATCTCCTCTACACCTGTGAAAATTAAAGTGTCTGGTCAATACTTTATTATATTAATATTTCGCTACATTCAACTAGATTTATCATAAATCTAAAGATGTGGGGAAATGACATCATGCACACCTGTTTTTATACAGCCAATACACAAACATGGCTGCGCCTGCTGATTTGTAGAAATCGGTGATTTAGTGATTTAAATTTTGTTATCATTCGTTTAATATTATTATTTGGCGGCAGAAAATTTGCAGATTTATTGTTTAAAGTATTCTTTTTCTGAAATCAAGTTTTTATTCTAACCTTGTCTTTCCCTTTAATTGGAAATACATGTATAATAGTTTTGATATTGTGCATGTAACAGTTAAATGCTTAAAATATCAAACAAAGTCATAACAGATGTTATCACTATTTTAAGTGTAACAAAGGTTCACTAAGCATCATTGTCTTCTTTTGTGTAATGTGTTTCCTTTCTTGTTCCTGTCCTTTGGGCTTCAACAGTCTAAATTTTGCACCCAATTTCTGATTTCATATATTGCCCCGCTTTGCTCTGGTAACAATTTACATCAATTTGATAATAAGTTATAATGAATTAACAGTAACTTTACCATGAGATAAATTATTTCTGGATGTTTTAAAAAAAATTTCATTGATTTTTATATCTCACATTAGTTTTTGAGAAATGAGAGAAACTCTAACTAAATATCAGTCACAAAAGTCCCTGTCTGAGGCCAGAAGATATTCCATGTAACTATCCCAACCAAACTATGTGTTGGAAAGGCAATTTCATTTAAAGATATCAAATGATGGTTTGTTTGTTTGTCCAATGTTAAGATTTGTGTGTTATTTTTAAGTAAATAAATACATGAAAACATCATAGCATTTTAAGTTAAATACACAATGTGATTCAGGTTGAGCTTTTGATGTAAATGGGTTGTCTGTCACAAGAATGGCACAATTTGCATTTGATATTTTAAAGATAAAACAATCTGTAGAAATGTAAAAAATCCAGCCATGAGGCTTTTTTTGCAAGTCAAAACAAAATGAAAATCAGAATGGTGTAAACAATAAACCTCTGTTTTATAGAGCTGTCATCGATAGAGACAATATCGATGTATTGTTGATATTTTTTTGCCGATCAATAATCGATAAACATTTAAAAAAATCGATACTTTTGACTAATTAATTAAATGTCTAGAAATTATAAAAAAATCACCCAAAACATATATGGAACAGTTATTTATGTCTAATGTTATGCTTTTGTTATATAGTGGAAATATTTCATAGCAATGGTGATAAAAATGGAAAAAAAATGCAGTGGACAATACACTGTACAGAAAATGTTTTTAACGGAAATAATTTAAACAGGTATGAAAGTGAATGACAGCTAAGTAATTATAGGTTATTATCGATATATCGGTGTATCGTTGATTTTAGTCATCTCATATAGATATATCGTTGATATGCTTTGCACTGAATCGATGACAGCTCTACTGTTTTCAAAACTTGAGCTCTGATGAAAAGACTTACAGGGAAATTTTCAAAAGGTGTAAGAGGCCTTACGCCCTTACCTATATATTTCAGAATCTTCAAATGAGACACCTGAACTTGTGGTTTGTTCAAGGGCTGGGGAAGATTTGGGCAGATTTCCATTGGTAAATCCATATTGTTTGATAGGAAGGTATGTGAACATTTCATTTAACTTTTTGGAAATAAAACTTCATTTCACAGCAAAGATATACATGTGCAGGTTTATTGGTTTGTCAAGTCACAATTTAAACTGTGAGTTTTGCAGTTAAAACTCTAGAACAAATTCATTGAGAAGTATGGTTCTGCCTTTTTAGCTAGACTATCTGAAGAATATGAAAAGCTATTGTATTGCTAGAACAGTCATAATAAAATTGTCAACACTCCAGATGCAACATCAAAATATGTAAAATTTCCCCTAAATTTGCTTATATTTACCCCTAAAATGCAACCAGAATTATGACTTAACAGCATCTGACTAATATCAGCCAGAAGACAGAAATCAAAACAACTTAATACTATGGTCAAGCACAATAAGAGGAAGTGAAGAACACAAGAACCATAACTCTGTCCAAAATAATTACAGAGTTATTGCCCTTTGTTACTTTTCCATTGCTTATTTTATCCGGAGCATATCTGGAAGACTAATGGTTGGAATTCAATAAAACTTAATACAGTGATCAAGCACATTGAGAGGAAGCGCATGAATTCTCTTCTAATGTGTGACTATCAAGTTTGTTCAGATAAACATCCTGGGGACAAAATTGGCCCCGACCAGAGGGGGGGGGGGTCATTGTTTTTCCCTATATATAGTATAGTAAAAACTCAAAAAATTCTCTTACAGGTAGAGCTTAGATATTTATCATGATACATTTTCAAATGGGTGTCTACCAAATTTGTTCAAATAAAAGCCCGTGTTAAAATTGGCCCCGCTTTGGTGGCCTATATACAGGTGAGCAATTTCAGAGCCATCATGGCCCTCTTGTTGCATTACTTGTACTTGGGCATGAAATGTTTTAAAAAGGAAATAGAAAAGCCAACAGATCTTACCACTGTCTGCAAAGCCTGAGATAAACACTTTTTTAAGGATTGCCCCAGTTAAGATTTTGGTCATGTTGAGTCAAAAACAAGGTTCAAATATTTTTAGGCGAGTGCTATAGGACCATCATGTCCATTTGTTTAGTATAATCTTTGGTTTAACTGGGAACTCAACTGTAACTCGCAAACATTTCATGTTTGTCATTATATAGATTTTGTAGTGGACCCTTCCATTTTAAAGTATTGTTATTTTATTACTGCAGTTCTAGAAGCTGTGATGTAATTGTATCCTTGCCTTGTGTGAGACCTGTCCATTGTCAACTTGAAGTTAACGAGGGAAAAGTAAGTTGCTTAAACCTGTTACCTATATATTACTTCAATAATATTATTCTACAGGTGTTATATAATAGTTTTATATACAAAAAAATAACAGTGCATCAGTCAAGCTGTTTGAAAACTACTTTGTTTGATATAATGCTCATAAAAAATGTCAGGACACTTAATCCAATCTGTAATAAGCCTGGTATTTTGACAGTTATTTATGCAGGCATCTAGCAAATTATTAATGTCTATTGTACAGCAATAAAAATTGTCTTCTTTCTAGCTCATACTGTTTAATGTTTTAAAATATAAATTAAAGAAAGCCACATAGTGTCTGTTTTTTTAATCTTCAACTTCGAAATATGTCATATTTATGACTGAAATTGATGAAATTTCTATGAAACTCCTACTTTTCCTCCTTTTTGGGTAGAAATCCTTTTACAATTTTTTCCTACTTAATTGTCAAAGGTTGCTGGAAGGTCTGTTATTTAAAAAAAGCAGAACATACTATGCAAGTTACTACACAGTACACATTATGCTAGTCACTTTGCAGTACAGACTATGTAAGTCACTACACAGCACATACTATGCAAGTCACTATACAGGGCTTGAGCTGAGGGGGGGGGGAATTGGGCGAAGAAGTTGCCTTCGGATCAGTGACTTTGCCTAAAACAAATAGCTTTTCGTCCGGCGTCCAGCCGGCGTTTGTCCGTCCGTCGTCTGTAAACTTACTTGAAATGACATCTCCTCATAAACCACTAAGCCAATTTCATCCAAACTTCACAGGAATGTTCCTTTGGTGGTCACCTTTGAAAATTGTTCAAAGAATTTAATTCCATGCAGAACTCTGGCAACCAAAAGAAAAAACTTTAAAAATCTCCTTCTAGAAAACTCAAAGAGCTAGAGCTTAGATATTTTGCATGAAACATCTTCTAGTGAGTGTCTACCAAGTTTGTTCAAATAAAAGCCCTTGGGTCAAAATTGGCCCCGCCACAGCGGGTCATTGATTTTCCCTATATGCCTATTGTAAAAACTTAATAAAAGCTTCTTTTAAAAAAAACCAAAGAGCTAGAGCTAAGATATTTAACATGAAGCATGTTCAAATGGATGTCTACCAAGTTTGATCAAATAAAAGCCCTGGGGTCAAAATTGGCCCTGCCCCAGGGGGTCATTGATTTTCCCTATCTGCATATAGTAAAAACTTAAAAAATCATCTTTTAAAGAACCCAAAGAGCTAGAGCTAAGATATTTAGCATGAAACATGTTCTAATGGATGTCTACCAAGTTTGTTCAAATAAAAGCCCTGGGGTCAAAATTGGCCCCGCCCCGGGGGTCATTGATTTTCCTTATAGTGTATAGCACTGCAAACTTAAAAAAATCTTCTTTTAGAGAACCCAAAGAGCTAGAGCTAAGATATTTAGCATGAAACTTCTTCTAATGGGTGTCTACCAAGTTTGTTCAAATAAAAGCCCTGGGGTTTAAACTTGCCCCGTTCCTGGGGCCTATATACAGGTGAGCGACTTCAGGGCCATCATGGCCCTCTTGATGGCCCTCTTGTTAAATGATCTGTGATACCTGTTTACAATTCTAGGTCCGTTAACAATTTGTTTACTTCTCAATTACAACCAATTACCGTTAGTCCACTAGTTAAGAAAGCATGTCAACATCAACAAAAGTCTTACACACACAGCAAGGCAAGAGTTCACTATGTATATCTTTTTTGTATTCATGTATTCATGCGATTGAGGAATCAGAACGCGCATTGGATTGACCAATTAGTGACACACTAACATACTGCAGCTATTTGTTGACAATAACACAAAATGGCGACAGATTTAATCAATTTTTGCCGATTGCATCATTAAAGACACCCACATATACATAATTGTTGATAATTGTTGATGCGTTTTGGCCAATCTGACTGATAAAAGACGCCAATGGCAAGTGGCACTGCTCTATTTGCCCTGAAAATTGTTACCAACTAAATATACTCACATGTAGTATATTTTTATTGTGCGTGCTTTAGGTATACATTTATGAAAAGAAGATTTATAGTAGAAATTTCTTATTTAAAAGGTGTTTCTTATTGTTTAGGGGTGGGGGGTGGGAGGCATTTAGATTTACCAAAGTCTATCCTTCCATCCGTCCGTTCTCTTAGTTGTCGCATGTAACTCAAAAAGTATTTGACCTAGAATCATGAAACTTAACAGGAATGTTGATCAGCATGTACAGTTGTGCACCTGAATATTTTGGTGTGGTTTTATTTTATTCAGTATTTTTAGAGTTATTGCCCTTGACTTAGTAAAAATTTGTAATTTTCAACTTGTGTCACACGTAACTCAAAAAGTATTTGATATAGAGTCATGAAACTTTACAGGAAATGTTGATCAGCATGTGTAGTTGTGCACCAGGTATTTTTGTGTGGATATATTTAGTATTTTTAGAGTTATTGCCCTTGAAGTCTCCTCACTTCTCCCTAAGTCACCTAGAGGGAGAAGTCACTTCTCCCTAAAATTTTGACCTAGCTCAAGCCCTGCAATACACACTATGCAAGTCACTACACAGTACACACTCATGATGCAAGTCTGACATGTGCAGTATACACTATGCAAGTCACTACACAGTACATACTATGCAAGTCATTATGCAGTACACACTATGCAAGTCACTACACAGTACACACTATGCAAGTCACTACATTGTATATATATTATAGTTAACACAGACTGTTAGTCACTACATGTATCAATTGACCATGTACCTCTATGGCATATTTTAGTACATTATGTCCCCCCCATCTATTTGTCCTCATTTGGCTTGTACAGCTGGCATGTTTTTTGCACCGTTGCACAAAATGGCAGCAAGAGCAAAAAATAGAAATATCTTGTCTAGCTTTCACAGCCCAAACAGCCAGGTGAACTTCAACAAAACTGGAAAGGATTGATTTTTACCAAGCCTTGTTGCATGTATTGTTAGCTTGTTCTGCTTAGCTGAACTAAGTGGCCACTAGAGCTAAATATAGATCAATCTTGTTCAGTATTCACACTACTGGGTAGATTTTGATGGAACTTTAAGAGAGTGATGAATACAAAGACTTGTTAGGCACATTGCTAGCACATTCTTCTCCACTGTACAAAATGGTCACAAAATTCATCAAGTTGAAGAGCTAAAAATAGTAAAATCTTGCTTGGCTTTCACTCCTCGAAGTGCTGGCAGATTTTGACAAAACTTCACAGTTCTGATCATTACTAAGCCTGTTGCACATTATTGGCAGGTTTTGTTCAGCTGCACAAAATGTCTCAACTTCTCTGTTAAATTACTGTGTAAGTGGTTAAGTTTGTGATGTGGAAATATTTGCGATTTTTACGAATTGAAATTATTGTTAAAGTTTGGTTTTAACAAATCACAAATGTTTCAATGAAACACTGTATGTGTTAACAACACAACAGGTCATTCATTTAACAAAAGAATGTTTCAAAATATGACAAAGATGTGTGATCAGGTCCTTTCTCAAAGTAACAATGTATATTTAAAATAATTTTAATGAAGGTATTGAATAGAATGATTTACAATAGTCGCATATTCATAACATGCACCTGCTTAATTGATGATATCACAGAAACAGTTATAAATTCAAGAACTCATATTTTCATGAATATTTCCACACACAAAATGTCCACTTTCTGACAATTGCAAAATTTTCGTGACTGATAAATATCCAGTAGAAGGGAGGTCGGGGAAGAGGGGATACAAAAATAGTGTGACATGTTTTTGCTTCTATGAAAGAACCTGTGCATTTATTATATGTATAGGTTATCATTACTTGTATAAATTGCAGAAAGGAAATAAAGGCAAACATTTCAAGAATTTATATTTTAAATTTAATGTTCTTTCATAGGTGATGTTAACAGACTTCAGTTGTGGTAGTAGTGAGAGACTTTTGAATTGGGGAGAGGAATTCACCATTCTTGACAGGACTTTCCGTCTAGAGAAATGGAAGGCATGTTGATTTGTTTTGACAGATTTTTTTTTTTAATGCGTTTATTTAAGGTCACTGCCGGACCATGGGCGACCATACACTCAAGTCGGGCCATCCTAGAGCGTCCAGCCGAGACTTTTCGTTGATTTTTTCTAGCTTTATTGGTGGAAGAAGACCTCAGGTGCCCCTCTGGGCATTATTTCAGGCACGAGTGGGCACTTGGGTAGAACCACCGACCTTCCATAAGCCAGCTGGACGGCTTCCTCACCGGATTGAGGATCGAACCTACAGCTGTGAGGGACCTGTGATCTCAAGTCAGCGACCTTAACCACCCGGCCACGTGGGGCCCCTTGTTTTGACAGATTATTGTTATTTGCCCTTTAGATTAATATACATTTGCAATAACTTGTCATATTAAATACTTCGAATGTGGCAAAATGAGCTTTAAAGTAAAGTTTGATCCACAGTGTAGAATGGTTTATATAGACTTGCAGAGGAAAAATTGTAGGAATTAATCACAGTCAGTGTAAAGACAAGTTGCCAATTTTACTTTCAGGCATCAGAGAAAGATGAGGGTTGCTTGGCTACCAGTGATGAGGGAGGTCTGGCAACAAGCAATGAGCATAATCTCAAGCTCATAAACAGACAGGAGGAAGACATAGATGCACTGGAAATAGAAGGCAAAGAGGAGGTATGTACATTTTTATGTGATCTAAAGAATTTCGGGCATATTATGGTATACCCCCTGGCATCCATCTGTCTGTCTATTCATACGAACCCAGAGGTACTTTAAGATCAGTGAGTAACAGTTAATTCTCTTTGATCCAATTCATTCAGTTTTTACTTGTGTGTCTGTTTTCATGCCTTGTGTGACTAAAAATGACCAAAAAGATCAAAGGAAAAGTCACTTAAGTACCATTTTGTGAGTACGTCCGTCAATCTGCCTGTCCATCCGTTAGCTATTTGGTTACCGGAGCATAACTTAAGGTTTCATATGGCCCACAATATTCAAACTTCGTAGGATGATTGTCCATATTGGGTAGAATACCTCTATTGATTTTTGGGTCACAAGGTCAAGGTTACTTTCACCCTAAAACTGAAAACAATATCCGGAGCATAACTTAAGTTCTGTTTGGCCCACAGTGTTCAAACTTCATATGATGATTGTCTATGTTGGATAGAAGACTCTTTTTGACTTTGGGGTCACAAGGTCAAAGGTCAAGGTCATTATGACTTTAAAACTAAAAACAGTTTCCGGAGCATAACTTATGTTTTATAAAGCCCGCAATATTCAAACTTCATAGGATAATTGTCCATATTGGGTAGAGGACCTCTATAAATTTTGGGGTTGCAAGTCAAAAATCAAGGTCACTTTTACCTTAAAACTGTAAACAGTTTCCAGAATATAACTTAAGTTCCATTTGGCCCACAGTGTTCAAACTTCATAGGATGATTGTCCATATTGGATAGAAATCCCCTATTGATTTTGGGGTCACAACGTCAAAAGTCAAGGTCACTATTACTTTAAAACTGAAAACAATTTCCAGAGTATGACATAAGGTCTATTTGGTCCATAATATTCAAACTTCATAGGATGATTGTCCATATTAGGCAGAACACCCCTCTTGATTTTAGAGTCACATGGACAAAGTTCAAGGTTGCTATTACTTCAAAACTAAAAACAGTTTCCAGAGCAAAACTTTAGTTCTATTTGGCCCACAGTATTCAAACTTTAAAGGAGGATTGCTTTTTGAAGAAGGTTAAACTTTATTTATGTAATGTCTTACAAATGCTTCATTCTCCTAAAAAAGAAAAAAAAAAAGATTTCGGGCATATAATGCCCCGCCTAGCGGTGCTCTTGTTATTTTAAGGCAGTTATGGAACTTAATCAGATATAAACAAAAGTTTCAAAAACAGTTGTACATTCCTTGCTGTGTTTCGGGGTATTTATCACATTCAGTGATAGCTCACTAATTGCCAATTTTACTTTCAGGCATCAGAGATAGATGAGAGAGGCATGGCAGCTGGTGATGAGAGAGGCATGGCCACTGGTGATGAGGAAGGCATAGCAATTGGCGATGAGGGAGGTCTGGCAACAAACAATGAGCATAATCTCAAGCTCATTTACAGACAGGAGGAAGACATAGATGCACTGGAAATAGAAGGCAAAGAGGAGGTGTGTACATTTTTATGTTATCAAAATTCTGGAACTTTGAATTTAAGATATAAGCAAAAGTTTTAAGAACAGTTGTACATTCCTTGCTGTGTTTAAGGGGTATTTATCACGTCAAGTGATAGCTCACTAATTGCCAATTTTACTTTCAGGCATCAGAGATAGATGAGAGAGGCATGGCAGCTGGTGATGAGAGAGGTCTGGCAACAAGCAATGAGCATAACCTCAAGCTCATTAACAGAACGGAGGAAGAAATAGATGCACTGGAAATAGAAGGCAAAGAGAAGGTGTGTACATTTTTATGTTATCGAAATTATGGAACTTAATAAGAGAATAAACATAAGTTTCAAAAACACTTGTACATTCCTTGCTGTGTTTTAGGGGTATTTATCACATTCAGTGATTGCTCACTAATTGCCAATTTTACTTTCAGGCATCAGAGATAGATGAGAGAGGCATGGCAGCTGGTGATGAGAGAGGTCTGGCCACTGGTGATGAGGAAGGCATAGCAATTGGCGATGAGGGAGGTCTGGCAACAAACAATGAGCATAATCTCAAGCTCATTAACAGACAGGAGGAAGACATAGATGCACTGGAAATAGAAGGCAAAGAGGAGGTGTGTACATTTTTATGTTATCGAAATTATGGAACTTTGAATTTAAGATATAAGCAAAAGTTTTAAGAACAGTTGTACATTCCTTGCTGTGTTTAAGGGGTATTTATCACGTCAAGTGATAGCTCACTAATTGCCAATTTTACTTTCAGGCATCAGAGATAGATGAGAGAGGCATGGCTGCTGGTGATGAGAGAGGTATGGCCACTGGTGATGAGGAAGGCATAGCAATTGGCGATGAGGGAGGTCTGGCAACAAACAATGAGCATAATCTCAAGCTCATTTACAGACAGGAGGAAGACATAGATGCACTGGAAATAGAAGGCAAAGAGAAAGTGTGTACATTTTTATGTTATCGAAATTATGGAACTTAATAAGATATAAACATAAGTTTCAAAAACACTTGTACATTCCTTGCTGTGTTTTAGCGGTATTTATCACATTCAGTGATAGCTCACTAATTGCCAATTTTACTTTCAGGCATCAGAGATAGATGAGAGAGGCATGGCAGCTGGTGATGAGAGAGGTCTGGCAACAAGCAATGAGCATAACCTCAACAGACAGGAGGAAGAAATTGATGCACTGGAAATAGAAGGCAAAGAGAAGGTGTGTACATTTTTATGTTAGGGCAGTTATGGAACTTAATAAGATATAAACATAAGTTTCAAAAACAGTTGTACATTCCTTCCTGTGTTTTAGGGGTATTTATCACATTATGTTATAGCTCACTAATTGCCAATTCTACTTTCAGGCATCAGAGATAGATGAGAGAGGCATGGCAGCTGGTGATGAGAGAGGCATGGCCACTGGTGACGAGGAAGGCATAGCAATTGGCGATGAGGGAGGTCTGGCAACAAACAATGAGCATAATCTCAAGCTCATTAACAGACAGGAGGAAGAAATAGATGCACTGGAAATAGAAGGCAAAGAGAAGGTGTGTACATTTTTATGTTAAGGCAGTTATGGAACTTAATCAGATATAAACATAAGTTTCAAAAACAGTTGTACATTCCTTGCTGTAATTTTGGAGTATTTATCACAACAAGTGATAGCTCACTAATTGCCAATTTTACTTTCAGGCATCAGAGATAGATAAGGGTGGCATTGCAGCCAGTGATGAGCAAGGCATGGCAACAGGTGATGAAGGAGGAGTGGCAATTGGCGATGAGGAAGGTCTGGCAACCAGCGATGAGGAAGACATGGCAATTAGTGATGAAAATAATATTGAGGACATAGAATTGCAGGAGGAAGACAGAGATGCACTTGAAGTGGAAAGCACAGAGGAGGTATGTACATTTTAAGATTGACATTTATTCTACCAAAACAACTTAACAATAAAAAAAAACGTGTGAGTGGAACCGAAGCATTTATGATTGTGAATTTAGGGCTTAAATCCTCACCTGAGCACTTCATGTGGGATTTTTTTATCTGTTTTTATAGCCTATATGTGGTCTTGTTCCCAATTCCAAAAAGTATACATTTTTCCAAATTTGAATTTGTAAGTTCAAAATTAACATTTAAAAAAAAAAGTTTGTCAAAATCTGACAATAACAAAGATAGTAGACTTTTTACTTCAAAGGTATTAAAGTAGTGCCATATCTAGCATGATAATGAGAAAGTAATGTTGCTAGATTATGTGATCAAGTTTCCAAATTTTACTAATTTATGCGCTAAAATTTCCAATTACATGTGTATAAATCATAATCCCAAGACACTGAGAAAAAACCCTGAAGTGATTCCTTGCAGAACTCTGGCAACGGCAACCTAACGGAAAAGGATTGTTAATCCTCTACACTAATCACTGGTTCAATTTGAAAAAATAAAATGAGTGACCCTGTACCAAATTTTATTTAGTCAATAAACATGGCTGCCAGGGGGTTTGGCAGTGCATTAACAATTGGCCATTTTCTTGTTATTCTTTGGTGGTATGGCTAAAGTAGAATCAATAACTACCATGTACACGCTAGATACTATAAGCTACATGAAGGCGTATTGAATATGGTTTTGATCCTGTGTTCTGAAAGTAAGAGTTATAAAATGGAAGCTACTGTATTCCTAGAATTTTCTCCATTTAATTTTTTAACTTATTGATTCTTTTAGTATTACCTTTGTTATTATAAATAATATTTACTCTAGACTTAATAAAAATAATTGTTTTTGTCATTTCTCACATCATGCATAACAAGGTTCATAACCCTAGCATCTTTTTTCAAGAGTTATTTCCTCTTTGAACTTATGATTTTACTTTAAAACATCAATTTCTTTTTACATGCCTGAAAGAATTTTGGGCATATTATTTTATACCCTCTGGCGTCCGTCCGTTTGTCTTATTAGTCCATCCATCTGTCCTTCCATCCATTAGCAATTTGGTTTTCGAGGCATAACTTTAGTTCAATTTGGCCCACAGTATTCAAACTTGTCCATATTGGGTAGAAGACCCCTATTGATTTTGGGGTGACAAGGTCAAAGGTCAAGGTCACAATCACCTTAAACAGAGCATAACTTAAGTTCCGTTTTGCCCACAATATTTAAACTTCATAGGATGTGTGTCTATACTGGGTAGAAGACCCCTATTTTTTTTTTGGGGGGGGGGGGGTCACAAGGTCAAAGGTCACTATTACCTTAAAACTGAAAACAGTTTCTGGAACATAACTTAAGTTCTATTTGGCCCACGGTGTTCAAACTTCATAGGATCATTGTCCATATTGGGTAAAGGACCTCTTGATTTTGGGGTCACAAGGTAAAAGTTCAAGGTCACTTTTACCTTAAAACTGAAAACAGTTTCCAGGGCATGAATTAAGTTATATTTGGCCCACAATATTCAAACTTAATGTGATGTTGTCCTTATTTGGTAGAAGACCATATAGATTATGGGGTCACAAGGTCAAAGGTCAAGGTCACTACAACTTTAAAACTGAAAACAGTTTCCGGAGCATAACTTATGTTCCGTGTGGCCCACAATATTCAAACTTCATGTGATGTTGTCCATGTAGGGTAGAAGACCCCTATTGATTTTGGGGTCACAAGGTCAGAGGTCAAGGTCACTATTACTTTAAAACTGAAAACAGTTTCCGGAGCATAACTTAAGATCTCTTTAGCCCACAATATTCAAACTTTATAAGATGATTGTCCATATTGGGTAGAAGACCCCTATTGATTGACATTGTATTTAGAGACCACTCAAGGGACTGCCAAAACGTGGTCTCTTAATAGAATTCTGGAAAATTTGAGACTTTTTATTATAAGTCATAGATATAATAACATCTTTTTTATAAAAACAGAAACTATACAATGTTACGTATGTATTTCAGTTTTATAATTACATTTATGCCTTTTTTAAAAAAAAGTCATCAATATTGTTTGATTTGTTTTTTAGTAGAAATTTGTGTACAAATGTGATCTATGCTCATAATACTTTCAACAGTCATTTTGACCATGAAACAAAGCATATTGTCTTATATTTTTAATATGTTCATACACATCTTCTGCTGAACATACTTTAGAATCATCAGCCAGAGCTCCAGATAATTTTTTATGCAATGAGTTTTAAACTTCTTGATTTTTTTCAACAATCAGTTTTCACACTATTTCGATTTCAAATTCAGAAAGATTTTTAGAGATCAAGGTTTTTTTTGTCTTTTTTTGTCGAAGGGTCATATTTAATGGGATACTACATGTATTCTGTAAAGCATCATACCATCAGCAATGAAAGGCTCGGTTCTGTAATGTTTAGTTCACTACGTTTTTGCGTTTTTATTTCGACTACAATCAATGACATTTGCTATTTACTCAGACTTAATGTTGTCCTGATTGTCTCTGAAAGTCGATAACTAATTGGACCAACCCAAAATCAGCCACAATCGATAGTCCTTTTTAAAAATCGGTAATTTTCAGTGTTCTACCACCACTGAATTGCTTATACTATTTTGTGAAAACTACAATGTACTTTGGAAAATTATAGTGTGTAATGACATAATATTATAAATAACATAATAATAATGACATAATACATATCTACTGTAGTTAAATTACTGATCTGCAATATTTTGACTAGTTGACTAGTACTAATATTGACTGTCATAAAGTCGTACATTGTTTAATACAAAAATTGCTTGTCACAAGGTTGTATTAGGTATTTTTGTTGTTTGTTTTGAATTCAAAGAGTAAATCTTACTTTGATCTTGGAGACAAGAGTTTACTCTCAAAATATGGCCACTATGGTATTAAAAAATACATACAAGGATTGGTACCTTAAAAGAAAATAGGACCATAAAAAATGCAATAATACTATCGGCAGATAATCGATTTGGGTGGTCCGATTATCGATAGAGATTTTTGAGTCCGATACCCAACACTACTCAGACTCAATTCTATGCACGATTTCCTCATACAATTTATCCGGTCTTATTAGTTGTCTGTCTTTTTTTAGCTATATCTGACGTCATTTTCGATAAAGGAGTTCACTCTGAGCATATGACAAAACTATGCAAATGCGGTGTTGCGATGCGTTATTGCTCTGACAAAATATGTCACAATAAATATTACGATCGGAAAATCCGATTTTGAAACCATTGCAATTGTTATTCATTTTGGTTTTTAAATGACGATTATTTGTGACCAATGATTATGAAAAATATTTGTTTTTTTGCTTGTACACATCTAACCTACTCGCTTAACACTTGTGAGAATGCCCGCAGGGACGATTGTTTGTCACCGCCGTTTAATAGATACTTTAACACTTAATTTTGTACATTTGGGCCGATGTTTAATGGAATTAAATTAAACAGTAGAAATCATTGGGAACGATTTTATGCGGTCGCTTAATAAAAAAGTCGCTTGAGAAAGGTGGACGCATTTAGTACCATGCCAACTGTAGTTTATCGCATAATAAGTTTAGCAAGATTGTGTTTGTAGGCTGTAAATTTAATATGAAAACACATAAATTAATTTTTATAAAAGTTTTTGATGAAAAACGCAGAAATTGAATTTGCAAAAAATCAACATACCCATTTTCAGCACAAAACGCAAAAATTTGCACCCACAGAAATAACTAGTTATATGGTACTCTGATGTGCAAAAATATAGAACATTTGAGTGCTTTCTTGATACTGATACAGAAACACATTTTGATAACATAATTGATTTTCTTTCATAGTTTTGTCTTCCTTACTGCGTCTAGTTGTGCCCCCACGTTAGTGGCGGGCATTTATCCCCAAACAACCAATTTTCAATCACAACCTAAATTCAAACACATTCTTAATTATGTGGCACTGATGTCATGCCTGACTAAATTGCATAAAGTCACATGTTGTTTTAACTTCAAAACTTGCAGGAATGCCACACTTGATTAATTGTCAGATATTATCAGAAAAACAATAAGAAACTGTTAGTTTTAAGTGACACAATATGAATTGTTCAACTTTCATTATATCCGAAAAGTCACTTGTTTAAAATAGTGGTAAAAATTTTTCCAAGCAAGTTAATTTTTTCATAAAGTATTGGCTAAAGAGTTTTACCATTTACCTCAGTCCTAGGTGTATTTAAACATTTATTTATATGATGTACCACTAAATATTCATCAGATTTTACATGGGGGGTCCTTATTAATAAAATCTTATATTGTTATCAAATTTTTTCATGTGATGATTGTAGAATAATTGTTTTGTAAGCAAGACCAGCTGGCACATCTAGACAAGTTTCCATATTTGCTAATATTATAAAGTATGGAAGGTAAAATGGCTGTAAATATTCAATGCATTTATCATTTTGCACCCCAAATAGCATACTAAGAAATGACACCTTTAACTGCCTTTTTATACACATTAACAGTAGTCATACCAATACATTGTGCTGTACATATGTTATAACATTTAGTGTAAGTTTTTTAAAATCTTAAAAAAAACTGTTTAAAATCGTTGAATAGACTATTGTGAAATTTTCTACAATTTTAAGTGGCCCTGATTTATCTTTAACAAATTTTCCATGGTGATTACCCTGCTGTTTGAATTTAGGTTAAAATATTCCTGGGAGTGACCCGAGTAGGTCGTATTGTTTTTATTGGATTTCTAATAAAGACTTTTTGAAACTGTACAAACCTGAAAATGAATAAGTGTTGATAGATGCATTAATAGCTAAAATAAATTTAACATATAATTTCCCCTTCCATTTATTATTGGCTAAAAATGGCTTAACTGATTGAATATTGGTTGTCCCGGGATAGATTTACCCTTGTCTGTCCGTCCGTCCGTCCTTCCATCCGTCCGTTCACTTTTGTGTCGCACGTAACTCAAAAAGTATTTGATCTAGAGTCATGAAACTTTACAGGAATGTTGATCAGCATGTGTTATTGTGCACCTGGGTATTTTCGTGTGGATATTTTTAGTATTTTCAGAGTTATTGCCCTTGACTTAGTAAAATTTTGCAATTTTCAACTTATGTCGCACATAACTCAAAAAGTATTTGACCTACAGTCATGTTACTTTACAGGAATATTGATCAGCATGTGCAGTTGTGCACCAGGTATTTTACTCTGGATTTATTTAGTATTTTTAGAGTTATTGCCCTTGACTTAGAAAATTTTTGCAATTTTCAACTTGTGTCGCAAGTTACTCAAAAAGGATTTGACATAGTCATTAGACCTTATGGGCAGGTTGCTCAGCATATGTAGATTTGCACCTGGGGTTTAGCTTGTGGATTAATCCAGTAGAGTTTTTTCCCTTGACTTAGTAAAAAGATTGACAGAACAGTGGCACGGTGGGGGCACCCGTGTCCTATGGACATATTTTTAGTATTTAATTAGCTTCGGTCTAGTCTTTAATTAGCTTCACTGCTTTCTATGACAGCTCTTGTTTTGAATAGTGTTGAAGGTTCTTGCAAGTCTTTCAAGAATGGTTTTATCCTCAATTTTAAAGATCAAATTTCCATACCTCCAGACAATGCATCTTCAACCTTTGATGTCATTATTGTAAAATATTTTTGAGAGATACACTGCATTAAATTTTACATATGACCCCAATGTTTCAGTGAGGGCAGTATTTTTGTATTTTTATTCTACGCAATGCCATTAACAAAAAAGTTAATCAACTTTTTAGCTCACCTGTCACAAAGTGACAGGGTGAGCTTTTGTGATCGCTTTTCTTCTGGCGTCCGTCTGGCGTCCGTCCGGCGTTCGTAAACTTTTACTTTAAATGACATCTCCTCATAAACCACTTAGCCAATTTCATCCAAACTACACAGGAATGTTCCTTTGGTGGTCACCAAATTTAACAGAATTTAATTCCATGCAGAAATCTGGTTGCCATGGCAACTAAAAGAAAAAACTTAAAATATCTTCTTCTAAAAACACAAAGAGCTAGAGCTTGATTTTTGGCATGAAACATCTTCTGGTGAGTGTCTACTAAGTTTGTTCAAATAAAAGCCCTTGGGTCAAAATTGGCGGGGCCCCAGGGGGTCATTGATTTTCCCTATATGCATATAGTAAAAACTTTAAAAAAATTTCTTTTAAAGAACCCAAAGAGCTAGAGCTAAGATATTTAACATGAAACATCTTCTAATGGGTGTCTACCAAGATTGTTCAAATAAAAGCCCTGGGGTCAAAATTGGCCCCGTCCCAGGGGGTCATTGATTTTCCCTATATACATATAGTAAAAACTTTAAAAACATTTCTTTTAAAGAACCAAAAGAGCTAGAGCTAAGATATTTAGCATGAAACATCTTCTAATGGATGTCTATCAAGTTTGTTCAAATAAAAGTCCTGGGGTCAAAGTTGGCCCCACCCCAGGGGGTCATTGATTTTCCATATATACATGGAATAAAAACTTAAAAAAATCTTCTTTTAAAGAACCCAAAGAGCTAGAGCTAAGATATTTAGTATGAAACATCCTCTAATTGAATGTCTACCAAGTTTGTTCAAATAAAAGCCCTGGGGTCAAAATTTGCCCGGCCCTGGGGGTCATTGATTTTCCAAATTTCCTTATATGTTTATAGGAAAAACTTAAAAAAACTTCTTTGGAAAAAACCAAATAGCTAGAGTTTAGATATTAAGCATGAAACATCAAATAAAAGCCCTGGGGTCAAAATTGGCCCCACCCCGGAGGTCATTCATTTTCCCAATATGTGTAAAACTATAGCAAAAATTGAAAAATCGTCTTTGAAAAAACTCAAATAGCTAGAGTTTAGATATTAAGCACCAAGTATGTTCTAGTGAGTGTCTTCAAAGTTTGTTCAAATAAAAGCCCTGGAGTCAAAATTGGCCCCGCCCCGGGGGACATTGATTTTCCTTATACGAGTAGAGTTTATATATTAAGCATGAAACATTTTCTAGTAAGTGTCTACAAAGATTGTTCAAATAAAAGCCCTGGGGTCAAAACTGGCCCTGCCCCAGGTGTGTCATTGTTTTTAACTATGTGTACAGAAAAAACTTTAAAAAATCTTTTAAAAATCCCAACGAGCTAGACTTTAGATGTTTAGCATGAAAAAACTTCTAATGGTTGTCTACAAAGTTTGTTCAAATAAAAGCCCCGGGCTTTAAACTGGCCCCGCTCCAGGGGGTCTATGTACAGGTGAGCGACTTCAGGGCCCTCTTGTTACAAAAATATTTTGTCAAAAAAATTTATTTGTATATAATCATTGCTTGATTAAATTTACTTTATATATTATTTTTTATATCTGATAAGTATATTTTTTTACTTATTATTTTTCATTATTTCAGGATTACGATGGTGATGACAATGACGACGTAAATGATTCGGATTATGTTGCTGAGTCTGATGAGGGAGATTCCACTGATGAAGATTTGTCAGGTACATGCATGTTTTTTTTGGTGAAATTATTTTGTATGCAATGGCATGCATGTATGTCTGGCCTGTTAAAATATTGTTAGGAATATATTGGTCATTATTTTCCCAAAACAAAGATTTAGGGGTATAAAGAAGTCACCCTGTGGTCGGTACAACTGTCCGTTGCAATTTCCTTGGCCGGAGCTTGACTTGAAGACTTATGGTTGGAATTCAATATAACTTCATACAATGATCAAACACATGTAGAGGAAGTGCAGTGCACAGGAACCATAACTCCATCTTCACTAATTATAGAGTAATTGCCCTTTTACTTTTTCATGTCTGGAGCATTATTTGAAAAGTACTGGTTGGAATTCAAAACAACTTCGTATAAAAGCACAATAAGAGGAAGTGCAGTGCACAAGAACCATAACTCTGTCCAAAGTAATTATAGAGTTATTGCCCTTTGTTACTTTTTCATTGCTTGTATATTGAGAGGAAGCGCAGTGCACAGAAGCCATAACTCTTTCTTGACTCATTTAAGAGTTGCCCTTTGTTACTTTTTATTGTCTAGTGCATATCTTGAAAATTAATTGTTGGAATTCAATGAAACTTTTAACAATGGTCAAGGGCAGTGAGATGAAGTGCAATGCACAGAACCATAACTCAGTTTTTGACCTTTGTTACCTTTTTATGTCCAGTGTATTATTTGAAAATTAGTAGTTGGAATTCAATACAACTGCATACAATAGTCAAGCGCAATGCGAAAAAGTGCAGTGTACAGTGACCATAACTCCATCTTCAATATTTGAAGTTATTGCCTTTTGTTCCTTTTCCTTGTTTGTACATAACTTAAAAGCTAATGTTTAGAATTCAATGGTGAAACACAATGAGAGGATGTGCAGAGCTCAAGAAGGGTAACTCTTTCTGAATTTATTAAAAAGAGTAATACAAGGATTCCAAACTAGCAGACATTAGGCTTTTCTTATCAATAGAATTGCAAGTAAAAATAACGGGATTGCTTACCTCACTGTATAAAACATATGTAAAATGGTCTGACTTGTGGTAGGTTCAACTGTAAATTTAAATACCTTGAGTGTCAAACAATGTGTTGAAATATATACTGAGACGAAGCTAAGATCACAAGCTTTTCATTGGTGTAATAAACTTTAAAATCAGGCATTAAATCGCGCCAAACTAGAGGTTTTAAAACATCTAAAATTCCATTGTTTTGCACTAGTGTTATTGATTTTTACTCGTAACTAAGGGAAACAACTCTTGTTTTTCACTTGATATACCTCGGTTATTTACATAGTTCATATAGAAACTGACAATGGCCCATTGGGTGTATTCAATAAAACTTCATAAATGGTCATCTACATTGAAAGGAATTGCAACATACAAGAACCACAACTATCTTTAATTGCCCACAACCAGAACTCTATTTCAATTCTTTTACAAGGTTGGATTTTTCCATGTGAGGAAGCTATCCAGCTAGCTTAGGGAACGTTGGTGGTTCTACTCAGGTGCCTGTTTGTGCCTGAAATAATGCCATAGGGGCACCTGAGGTCTTCCTCCACCAGTAAAGCTGGAACGTTGCCATATGACCTATACTGTGTCTGTGTGGCATAAAATCCAAACAAAACAAACTTTTACAAGGTATGCTGTTACTAGTAACTTCCTCATTTCCGAGTTATAGTTATATTTGATTTGTTAAAACAAAAAATTATTTGACTATTCGGGGAAGAATATGATCATGTGTTATTGTTCCATTGATAATTTTAGCATTACATTCCTATATTTTACAGTCTTAAAATTAAACAAGAGGGCAATGTTGGCCGTATATTGCAGACCTGATTTAAGTTGCTTTCAATTCAATTTAAATTCAATGAAAATTTGAAGAAGATTTTAAGACATGAAATAGTCTGAATATATGGAAAATTTAACATAAAAACTGGATCCAATGATATTACAAGTACTGAAAATATTTTAATGAAACCTGTGAAATATGGGTAGATGGGGCCATCCTTAAAAAAATGTTTGTTTGCAGTAATGCGACTGACTCACAAAATTTGCCCCTACTCAAATTTTTTTTCATGGTCTGGATAAAAAAATTTTTTTTTGGAATCAGAAAATTATGCCTTGTGCTTTGTTTTCGTTCTTTTAAAGGTTAATAGAAGAAATAAAATGTAGGTCGTATAAAGTTTGAATTCAGTTATCAATTTATTTATTGTTTCAAGATTATCAAAGCATAATATTGTATAGCATTTTGAAATTCCATGTTTATTTGGGAGTACAGTTCAATAAAAAAAAAAATCGACCTACCTCCCACCTTAAATATTCTGGGTGGGGTTACTGCAAACAAACATTTTTTAAGGATGGCCTGGCAGTCTGGAGATTCTGCATGTCTTTTTATGCCCGTGCCATATATAGTGTTACATTGTTCTATCATTCTGTCATCATCAGTTTCCGTTCATTATCTTAGTAATGGTTGCACACATTCAACTCAAATTTGGCATATGGATATGTTATGAGAAAATTCAGGTCAAGTTCACTGTTTGAATTTTGTCATGGTTCGATGATTTTTGGTAGAGTAATGCCCCTATTACTAAGAAAATAATATGAAATTTTCAGTTTCAGTTCATTATCTCTCCAACAGTATTACACATTCAATTCAAACTTGATATATGGATATGTCATGCGAAAATACAGGTCAAGTTCGAATTTGATCATGGTTTGATTATTTTTGGCAGAGTTATAGTCTGTTCATAAAAACCTGTTCCTGAGATCACTTATAAATACATGTAACTTTTTGAACAAATTTACTTAAAATAAAGAAAAGTTAAAACGTATTTACTAATCCTTAGAAAACTGGACCTTTTGATTATCTGTTGTATAAACATAATTTCCTTACTAGGCCGGGAAACTTAACTCATTACTATGATACAGACAAACTAAGAACTAAAAAAAAATAAAGTTCAATCATGTCATTCATTCATTCAATGGCATAATTGAATGGCCAATGGCCCTTCAGAATGTTGCTGGGGTTCTAACCGGTAGGGGCCTTATGGATTGCTTGCAATACTATGATAATTGCTTGTTATTGTCTATTTCTCTCAAATTGCCAAATTGGGATCAACATGACACACCAACAGTCATCATTCCTGTCAAGAGTTACACTTATGGACATAAACTACACTCTCAAGAACATCTCTTACAATTTCACACATTTCACTAAAATCTGAAATAAATATTTAGAAGCACCTAAAATATTCCCAAAATTGCAAATAATGCACTTCCACATTTTCGAGCAATTCCATTGAATACCAGCAGGCACTTTAAGATTAAAATATTTACTTCCAAAATGAGCACTTGAGGGAGACTTCAAATCAAACTCTGTAGGATGTTTAGCTTACTGTAAACCCCCCTGACAAAATGGGCTACTGTTATTTAATGCTTTCTGGAAACTGTTACATAAAATATGAAGTCACACCAGAAAAAAGTTTGCAAAATTTATTCTATTTCAAATGAACACGGTTTTTATTTATCTTTACAGCGGGAGAAGATGAAGCAAACGTAAGTGAAATTATTCCAGTAATGAGGACTGTCAGCACATGTATAAAAACATTACAAGTAACGAAATCAAATAAAAATTCAAAAGGAAATTTAGGCAACAAGTCACATGCGTGTTTGTTTTGTTATAAATTGGACCAGAATATTGCAAGGCATTATGGAACTTCCCACAGTAATGAATTGGAAGTTGGAAGAGTTCTTGCCTTAAAAGCCAAAAGCAAGAAAAGAAGAAAAGCTTGGGAAATGCTAGTGAACAAAGGGGACTTTGCCCATAATTTTGCTGTGCTTGAGAAAGGGCATGGACAGATAATTCCGAAATACAGGAAGGCAGAAGAAAGTGAAATAAGCAGTCTGCTCCCATGTCAATTCTGTTCAGGTTTTTATAAGAAAAAAGAGCTTTGGAAACACCAAAAGTCATGCAATAAAAAAAGAAATGAATGTAACTCTGATATAAGAATGGGTCCAATTGCAGCTGGAAAGAAGATGCTTCCAAAATTAAGTAAAAATGAAAAATTTGAGACTAACATTCTCAACATAATGAGAGACGATTCTGTGAAAGAAGCTGTTGTGTCAGATTCATTGATTTTACAGTTCGGTATGAGTGAATTCGAAAAGCAAGGAGTAGAACACAAAACTGTGTACACCTCAAACAAAATGAGGGAATTAGGTCGCCTTCTAATAACTTTGAGATCTAGAAACATAAAGTCCATTGATGAATGTATGAAAGCCAGCAATTGGGATATTTTTATTGAATGTGTCAAGGAAGTAAGCCAGTTTGACAATAACACATTTGGGATCCCTTCATTAGCCTTAAATCTCGGCTATAGAATGAAAAGCGTTGCAGAAGAGGCATACTTTCAAGCTTTGAAATTAGAAGACCAAGCTCAAAAGGACAAATATGAGTCATTCTTGAAAATGTACAAGTTAAAATGGAAATCTAGCATATCCTCACAGGCTTTACGCAGTCTTGAAAGCATAAAGTATAATAAGCCAAAGTACCTACCCCTAGTTGAAGATGTTGTTCTGCTTAACAAGTTTCTAAAAAAAAAAGCAGCTGCTTTTATGCAGACAGAAAATAAAGAACAATTGTCTGAACAATACCCTGAGTTTGCCAAAGTCTGTTTGGCCCACATAATATTATTCAATAGAAAAAGGAGTGGGGAAGCTCAAAGAATGACTGTGCAACAGTATAAAATGGCAAAGAAGGGTGGCAGAGTTGATCCAGTTGTCATGAGTGTTTTGACAGAGCTTGAGAAAAAGCTTTGCCAGACGCACCTTCGAGTTGAAATTAGGGGCAAAAAGGGACGAAAAGTACCTGTGCTGTTCACAAAGGATATGCAACAAAATATTGAAATGCTGCTGAAAATGAGATCAGCTGCAGGGGTATCTGATGATGGCCTATTATTTGCCACACCACAAAATGAAAAGAATCCATACAGAGGCACAGATGCATTAAGGAAAATGGCCAAAAGTTGTGGAATGGAGGATCCATCTTTGATCACATCAACTAACCTTCGAAAGCAACTTGCAACCTTGGCTCAAATATTGAACTTGAAAGAAAATTCTCAAGATCTGCTAGCGACATTCCAGGGCCACGATATCAGAATTCACCGGGAGTACTATCGCCTTCCTGAAAATGTACTACAAGTTGCAAAAATGTCAAAAGTTCTCAGATGCATCAACAACGGAACCATTAATAAATTCAGTGGGTGTGACTTTGAGGACATTACCTTCAATCCAGATGGTAAGTTTTTTTTTTTTTACCAAAACAGAAATACTGTTTGATCCTTATTATTCGTCCTGTAACAGATTTATGTGTAAGTATAGATCAAGCCTATATCTCAGAAAATACTAATTGAATTGAAACTTTCTACAATGCTCCCTGGTTGATATTGCCCTTGTTTTATTGAGCAGCACTGAAAATAGTCAAGCATAAATAACTGATTACTCTTGTGTGGTAGATGATTGTTAAACGAGGGCAAAGAAATTTTGAAACATTTTATTATTTTTCTTTTTGTCTTTTAGAATGAAAATGGTTTGAAAATGCAAATTATTTTTAAAAGTGTTTCAAAATACATTTTAATTACACACCAAGAATCATTTAAGGTAATAAAATATAAAGTTAAGATTATCAAAATTATGTATAATTAACTGTTCTAAGGGTCTCTGCATTTTCCCTACATTAAATTATCATTTTGAAGTGAATAATGTAGACCACATGTTTGTATAATAAATTGAGTAGGCACTGGCAAAACTGAAATTCTGCTTTGTTTCTGACTTAAAAGGACTCCACTGAAGTTTAAAAGCCTAAAAACATTACATTTGAATTTCTTACTTAAATGAGCTAGGGCACTTTAAAGAGAAATATATACAAAGATAGTTTAGAAATTATACTTTGGAATAAATTGAAAATTGTATTTTTATGCTTTCCTTAGTCCGATTTGAGTGAAAAGCATTTAAACGCTTTTCATTTTGGGTCATTTTTTACAATTTGAATAATTATTCTGGAAAACTAAGTGTGCCAATGACCTGAAATTTTGCACAATCAAATGGTACATTTATGGGGAAAAATATTTTCAGTCCCATCATGTCAGAAAACATCAGTGGAGTCCCTTTAAGTGGTGGAGTTAGAGGGCAGCTACAGAGAAAATAGTGGTACTCTATTAAAAAAAACAACAATTTTTGAGTCTAACTGACAGGTGGCAAAATAAAATTTTGAGTTTCTTGTAGCAGAGAGTTTTTGCACTTGTCCATATGATATAGAGGATATTGAATGAGTGTAAGTTCAATACTAAATTTATTGCACGAGTTGAATAAAATTATATTATGCGAGCCTCTGGCGAGCATAATTTTATTTTATTCAACGAGTGCAATAAATTCAGTAATGAACTTACACGAATTTAATATTCTATTTATCACATACCAAAAATAAAGACCGTTTAAAGTGAAATAAGAGTCATTTTTCATTGACGCGCCTATAGTATACCGCTAACATTTAGCGCGTCTTTACACTATGTTTGTATAACGCTAATGACGTCACGTCAAAATATATGCACGGCCGTGCAATACCATATTTACGGAGTCGCAAAATCGGCACAGGTGTGTGATAAAATTATATAGTAAATTCTGATCAAATTTCACTTGTCCGTAATAGCCTAGGGACAACCTGGGCAATATTGCCACCCACACTGTCACATGTTACAGCAAGTTATATTATTTTCATGGTGCAGTGCCTTGTGATACCAGCTATTTGTATACATCTTCTTGATATTGTTGTAGAGGCTGTGGAGTCTGACTCAAGTGACAGTGAAGATGACAATGATTCTTGTGAAGATTATTCAGGTATTTATTTTAAATCTACTAGATGGCTTAAGTAAGCTCAATAGCAAAAACAGAATAGTTGCTCAGTATTGAGCTTTCCAGGAATAAGTTGAATAAATTGCCTTCATGATGCTACTAAGACAATGAAATAATAAAACAAACAAACACTATGCCTCTTATAATATTCACTCATGTATGGTAAAAACTATACCCTAAAGACCAGTTTTGTTTTTGTTGATACCCAAATGCCTTGAAGGACTTAATTGAAATTTGGGTTCAGTTATAAGCACATTAAGACAGTGTACAGAAACCAACATCTTGGCATGCATGCCTAAGGCCACAGTTAAAAGTCAAAGGATTGAACCTAGTATTTTGTGATTGCTTTGTAACTCCTACCAGCCTTGAAAATTTATTGAAATATGGTTGAAATGATCACCTCATTAAGGCAATGTGCAGAACTTACCTTGCAAGCACACTGGCCAAAGGTCACAGTTGAAGGTCAAAGGTTTGAGCCCTAAATATCACATCCACTCCAAATTACATTGAGTATTTTAATTAAATTTTAGGTGATTGTTCACCTCAATGCACAACATGCAGAACCAACTGTTCAGACATGCCAGTCCAAGGTCAAGGCCATAGTTCTGAGGTCCAACGTTTGAGACCACTGTGTAATTCCTTGAAGATGTAATTTTGGTCTAATGTTAACATAATCCTGACAATTTGTGAAACCTATGATCGATTGTAGTTACTTACATAGTGTGTGTGTGTGTGTGTGTGTGCATATGTATTGACTTGCTAGTGTGTATGCCAAGGTAGCAAGCTTTGTTTCCTACATGGAAGTGAAGTGACTTGCATAGCGTGTATGCATGTGTACCAAGCTTCATTGTTTTTAACCAGGTTTTCCATGGGAGAAACTTGTGTAATTAGATAGGGAACCTCATTGGGCATGTGGGAATGTGGCTTTAACAATTCCTGTCCTTGCCATAACTTTTACATCCTTGGAACAATTTCAATATTATTTGTCATGTGCTTACACAATGACAAAATGTGTTGAATACAAAAATCAGATCTGTAGCTCAAATGTATTGGTCTTTTAGACAGGTCAAAGGTCACAATGTCCATAATGTTGTCCTTGCCTTAACTTTGCCATCTTTAATGAGATTGTCCCTGTTGAAAACCTGGTTTCATAGCATTGCATAGCAATTTAGTGACTTGCATAGTGTGTATGCTAGTGAAGCTAAATTCATAGGCTTTTGTCAAAAAGCTTGTTTCTATGTTATCTCAAACAGTGTTAATCTGGATCAGGTGGTAAGAAGAATGAGGAAAATCTTTGATTGCTGTTGAAGTTAAATTTTTAATCGTTTCTTCACGAAACCTTGTCAGAATGTTTCTTGCTTTTTTTTGGGAGGGGGGGGGGCTCAGAAGAGTTATACAGGAACATCATAGTAGTCTTCTTTTACAGATATCAAAGAAGGCAAAAAGGAAAACCAGGATACTGGAAATGTTGCAAGGACACAGAAGAGGCACAGACAAGATGGTATGGTTAATATTTTCATTCATTGCACCATGGTTTAGTTATCTAAATAGTTAAAATTATTATGTTTGATTCCGGCAAAATTATGACCTCTGGCATTTGGCTGTCCACCAAAATAATCAAAGGTCAGTGTTAGCTATTGACCCCAGAGTTGCAGAATTCTATTGAATGGTAAGCAAAATTATGCATCTGTGTATCAGACTTATATAGGCAGAGTTATGGCCCTTGACTTGACATTTTAATTTGTGGTTTGCATTTCTCCTTAACTACTTTGGCTTAGATCAGAAAACTGTTGGAAAATGGTTATTGGTTAGTGAAGTTGAGCCCCTTAGTTTAATTTCAACATCTGATTTGTATATTTAGAGTTACACGTATTTAGTATGTTACTTAGCAAAAATAGAGACATTCTATACAGTAATATTGTTTCTCTAAAACTATTTAGGCAATAATCACCAAACTTGAATTTTATTATCAGAACTGTAATGCCTGAGTTATGAGGATTTACTTTGGTAAAAATGCATGGAAAATAAATGTTCCATTTACAATTCTTGTAGTATTTGTTGCTCCCTAACTATGTGACTTGACCAAAATTGAAGGAAAAATTCATTGGTAGGTGAAGTTAACCACTTTGAATTAATATCAGAACTGTGATGCCAAAGTTATGGTCCTTGACTGAACAAAAATAGATGTAAGGGCTCTTGTTTTCTGACAGAGTTGTTGGTATGGACATCTGTGTCCCTAGGCTCATCAAATTTGCATGCATCAAATCATGGCTCGTTTGTTTGAAATGTTCATGACACATAGTTCTTGGGTAACTCAAAGGGTATTTGACCTAGAGTCATGAACCTTTACAGGAATGTTGATCAGCATGTGTAGATGTGCACCTGGGTATTTTCGTCTGGATATTTTTAGTATTTTCAGAGTTATTGCCCTTGACTTAGTAAAATTTTGCAATTTGAACTTGTGTTGCATGTAACTCAAAAAGTATTTGACCTAGAGTCATGAAACTTTACAGGAATGTTGGTCAGCATGTGTTGTTGTGCACCAGGTATTTTTGTCTGGATTTATTTTGTATTTTTAGAGTAATTGCCATTGACTTAGAAAATTTTTGCAATTTTCAACTTGTGTGGCAAGTTACTCACAAAGGATTTGACATAGAGTCATCAAACCTTATGGGCAGGTTGCTCAACATATTTAGATTTGCACCTGGGGTTTCGCTTTTGGATTTATCCAATATTCCCTTGACTTAGTAAAAAGATTGACAGAACAGTGGCGTGGTGGGGGCGCCTGGTGTCCTATGGACACATTTCTAGTTCTTCTTTAAATAACTGTGAAGATTTGTAGAGGTACATGTATAATGTGTAAATTGGCATCTATAATAATAATTTTAAATGTGGAAGGTCTTAATAAAATTGAATTCTTTTCAACTACCCTGAGAAAATATATCAACATTAATATTGCTCAATTATATACCAAACTTTATGCATTTCAGATTCTACTGAGAATGCACAGTCAAAAATCAGGAAGGAGGAACCAAAGAAAAAAACTAAGATAACCACAGGTAATATGATCTCAAATAGTTGTTAGTCCCCTACCGGTTTACCGGAGGGAACTTTAGGTTTACCCTCCGTCCGTCTGTCTGTCTGTCTGTCCGTCAGTCTGTCCGTCCGTCTGTCCGTCCGTCCACAAAACTGGATCCCGCGATAACGCAAAAAGTACTGAAAATATTTTAATGAAACTTGTAATATGGATATATGGCAGTATGGAGATTATGCATGTCTTTTTCTTTTCTTCCTATGTTGAAAATTCTGGTTGCTATGGCAAGAAATAGACTGAAAATATGGCTAATTTTACACATAACCTGGATCCGGCGATACCGCAAAAAGTAGTGAAAATATTTTTATGAAACTTGATATTTGGATAGATGGCAGTATGGAGATTATGCACGTCTTTTTCTTTTTTTCTTATGCTGAAAATTCTGGTTGCTATGGCAACAAATAGACTGAAAATATGGCAAATTTTACACATAACCTGGATCCAGTGATAACGCAAAAATTACTGAAAATATTTTTATGAAACTTGACATATTGGTAGATGGCAGTATGGCAGTATGGAAATTATGCATATTCTTTTCTTATCTTCCTGTATTGAAAATTCTGGTTGCTATGGCAACAAATAGACTGAATTTCAAGATTTCTGTTTCTAGGTTTTCAGTTTTTTTACTATAAGTCCTTTATTTCTTAAGGTATTTTCTTCAAACTTTAAATATAAGTTGCTAGTCATCAACCACATCATATGTGACAAAGTTTACAACTCTAGCACAAAATTTATCAGAATTACATCCCTGGAACTTAAAATTTTCATGAAAAAACATTGTTTTTTTTTAATAACTTCTTTTTTTTGAACGTATCTACTTCAAACTTCATATAAATGTTTCTTATTATCACTCAACATTTGTGAGTGTTCAATACTCTAGCAAGTCTATTTCCAGAATTATGCCCCTTTTGAACTAGAAATTTTTTTGAGAAATTGGTAATTTTCTTCAATTATGATAGGATTTTCTTCAAACTCCCACATCATAATAATATGACAATTATATGACAAGGTTTATAAATCTAGTATCCATATTTCCAGAATTATCCCTCCTTAAACTTTTTATTTTTCGTATTCGTTCTTCTAACTTTCATTTACTTCAAATTAAAAATAAACATTCAATATCCATACCTTCATTATTAATTGTTCTTTGTTACACTCACATCATGTATGACATGGTTATCTCCTTTTTTTTAAATTTTGCTTTAAAAATGTGATATTTTGATAACAGGGATGTTTAAAAAATAACTTTAGAGTGTCCTTCAGTCTGTCTGTCTGTCTGTCTGTACATAAAAACTGTTCACTGTGATCACTTAAAATAGAAACATAAGTGAATGGCCAATGGCCCTTCACAATGTTACTTGGGCTCTTACCGGTAGGGGACTTATGGATTGCTTGCAATACTATGGTAATTGCTTGTTAATATAAGCATATCTGTTTGCAGTGTATTATGGAATAGTTCTTAGTTGTTTTTTATGACCCCACAAATTGGGTTGCATGTAATATTGCTCGTGTCCGTACATACAATGTACTACCCAAAATCCTGTGTGTCCAATTTCTTTTACATTTTTCTATTTTATTTCATTCAAACTTTCACAGATGATGGAGCTTAATCTGTAGATGATCGTAAAGGAAGGAATTCAGCCACATTGGCTTTGTTTTTACTATAATATTATAGTGGACATAGTGGGGTTTTTTTTGTTCAAGATCTTCCTCACTACATTATATTTGGTGGATTAGTGTTTCAATTTTCTACAGGTGAACAACCTTTATGTACATAGATGGTCATAAAGCAGAGAATTTTGGCTGTGACCATTTTCACTGAATTGTGTGGCTTTGTTAATTTCTTTTAGCTCACCTTGCACATAGTTTTTATAACATTTACAAGATTTAATTTTACAATGCCTGTGTATAGAGCAACTTATGTGAATAAAAAGAAGTTTTTTCTAATATGAAAAACTGCAGAAGCCTGGGGGTTAAATCCTGCCCCCAACATAATACCCCTGAGTTAACACTATCAAAAAATATTTTAGAATTTAAACAGTAATGGGATATCTGTTATGACTTTAATAATACTGGTTTTCGAAAGAAAAAAATACATATATGGAAAAAAAATACTGTTTACCATCATGTATTCAGACTTGATTCTGGCCAGGCAGGTGAATTGGTTGGGCCTTTTTTTTGTAACAGTTTTCTCAGCAACTTCATATCAGAGCCTCATGATATTTATTATACAGCATTAACACATCCCATACCATGGGATTCGATTTCAGGTCTGTTGCTCATCCACTTCATGTTTACTGACTCGGTTAAATTCATAATAATGGTCAATGGTAGGAATTTTTCGTAACAATTTTCTCAACAAATACTGATCACAGCCTCTTGATATTTGGTATACAGCATAAACATGTAGTCACATACCATGGGATACCATGGGATATGATTTTTGGTATGTGGCTCATCCACATCCTGTTTGCTGACTTAGTTAATTTTTCGGCATTAATTGTAAATGGAAGGAAATTTCCGTAACAGTTTTCTCAGCACTTACTCACAGTCTCTTGATATTTGGTATTGTGACTGCATTAGCACGTGGTCCCAAGTTCAGGTCTATTGCTTATCCACTTCCTATTTACTGACTTAGTTAAATTTTTTACATTAATGGTCAATGGTAGAGTAGAAAATTTTTGTAACATCACAGCCGCATGTCATTTTGTATACAAATGCAACCTGTCCATTTTTGTCTTTGTTATTGAAGTATTATCCAAATTTGTACTTCTTCTAGTTAATTATGATGTCATTGTTAAAATCTTTATGATGTTAACACGCTACAGGGAGTATTCTTTTAGCAACCTGTACTTTAAAGAAAAGAAAAAGGGGTATTTCTATGCACTTGTTTGCATTCCTGTTGCTGTTGGCCAAAAATACTTTACATTTGACACTAACCTTTAAATGACATTAAAGAATTTTATAAACTTGGTGCTTGTTTTTTAAAAGAAGAATACTTTTAAGACCTATTCGTTAAGGTGAGCAATATAGGGCCATCATGGCCCTCTTGTTTAATTTTTACATGTAGTATGTGATAGAAACAGTGTGTGTCAAACTCCACCATTGGTTTATGCAATTACTTAAAACATAAGATAACAAATTAAACTTTCAATGGTACTAAACATATTTATAGAGCATGATTATTAATGTTTCTGATATTGCGTATTTCTTCTTGCAAAGATATGCCAGTAGCATCTCCACTTATGTTTGTTTTTTTAAGAATTTAATTCCTTGTTGTTTGCTTATAAAATCAAATAAAAAATTGTTAGTTTTAATGTTCGAAATTTTGTGAGAAAGTAATAATTTAAGTATATTAAGTTTCATTTTGTGCCAGACACTTCATCAAGTTTTTTTAACACTTTGTAGTCGAACAAGTACATCACTAATTCATAAAGGTTATCAAATGTACCAGAGGTTTGTTTTTATATAATTTCAGATAAACACACTTGGAGCAATGAAGAGAAAGAAGCATTGAAGTCTTTCTTTGAAAGACATTTAAGAATATCAAAAGTACCAGGAAAGCTTGACTGCATTAACGCACAGAGAAAGCATAGATGCCTTTTAAACATAAACTGGAAAAAAATAAAATTTGCTGTTTATAATATGTTAAAAGCAAGGAAAAATTTGTTACAGTAATTGGGATGAAACATGCTTAGGGGTGGTATATAGGAGTCCAGCTTGTCGGTCAATCCATTTCATGGTTTCCGAACGATAACTAGAGTTTGGAATGAGTAATTGTAATCAAACTTATATGAGCCGCATCATGACAAAATCAACATAATGGATTTGTGACCAGCATGGATCCAGACCAGCCTGCGCATCCGCGCAGTCTGATCAGGATCCATGCTGTTCGCTTACCAACTTTATTACAAGTGGAGAAACTGACAGTGAACAGCATGGATCCTGATCAGACTGCGCGGATGCGCAGGCTGGTCTGGATCCATGCTGGTCGCAAACCCATTATGTTGGTTTTGTCATGACACGGCTCATATATTGGCTACCTTATGTAGAAACCCCGGTTCGCATTTGGACCCCCTGGGGTCAAGGTCACTGTTACAAAAAAAGAAAAATGGTTCCAAGACAAAAATTGGAGTTGGGAATGAGAAATTGTTATGAAACTTGGTGTATAGCAAGCTTATGTGAAGACCCTGGTTAGTATTGCATTTGGACCCCCTTGGGTAAAAGTCATGGTCACTGTTACTTAAATTAGAAAAATATTTTTTTTTTACAATAACTTAGATAAAGGAGTAAGATATTGTAATCAAACTTGATGTATAGAAAGTTTATATGAAGATCCTGGCTGGGATTACAATTAATTAGATACTTCTTTGTACACAGTTGATACTTCATTTACTATAGGTTGAGTTTAAGTTTTTCTTCAGACTAATTTTTCAAAAAGTCTAAGTTGCTGGTGGGGGTATCACCTTCAGCAGTAGGTCTTGTTTGTTTGGGGTTTTTTTCCTAAAAAAACAAGCTCTAGTTGATAATGTAGTGATTTTTTTATTCTCATGCTGCCTTATTGCTATGTAGTGTTATATTTATTGTCTTGCTGTTCGATTTATTATTGAATGGCATTTAGCTTAATTGAAAAATAGTGGTTGTGATGTTACTTGAGTAGCATGATTTTCATACTGATTGACATTAGGTCTCGACATTTTGTTTCTCTTAAATGCTTTATGGAAAGAAAAAGTGTTTGATTTTAATTGTGAAATTACTTCTTAATAGTGTAGCTAAATAATGCCAAATTTAATGCCAAATATGATACTAGATATTTTCAAAGTTAAATAAAATAAAAACTACTTGGTAAAAGTTCTACTCGGGGCCCTGTTAGTGACTGAAGTAATCTGGATAGTGCTGGAGAGTCTCCAAATGACCTTTACCATAAAACCCTAAACAAACAAAACAGCTCAATGTGGTAAATGTTAGGGATATTTTGAATAAGGTTTTTACATAGGGAAATAATAAAATTATTGTTTAAAGTGGATGGTGTAGGGTAATACTTTTTTACATAAAAACATTTTGATTAGAATCAATCATTTTGCTCATTTAATTTGTTACCTGAATGTTATTATTTGTTTCTTAAGAATGATCACTAGACAAACACTTTTCATATTGATGATATAGATTGTTTAGAGTTTCCTCATTTCTGAAAGAGCTCTTCCAATAGCAAAGTTTTAAGTTTAGGAAAATGACCATAACTCATAAACCACACAGTAAATTTTGTTTACATTTTGCATACAGATGACCTTTAAGGCATATAACTGTCCTTTATTGTTAATTTTACAGTTCCTTATAGTACTGATTAGGGGTATTCAACCTTAAATGTACATATATATACAGTCCATTCTAAATCTCTTTAGATAAAGAAGTTCTTCAACCACTTTAATTTAAGTCACTAAACTTTTGCTTATGCAAATTAAAGAGAGTAAATAATTTGCTTTATTGATTTAGGTAGAAACTGATTCAAAGTACTTTATTTAATTTGAATATGACATTGTTTGGGATATGGGACAAACTTAAATTTCAGATACTGAAATGTTTTTAAAAAGATGGAACATCTGTTTTTCTGGAAGGCTTACCACCTGCTAAAATAGTTAGTGTTTAGGCGTGGACATAGTGGTCCTATTTTGCTTTTCGGAGAACAGTTCTGATTATTATTTAGTATGACTTAAATGACATTAATACCCATACCTTTGTTTGCAATACTTATGCTGATCTGTTCTAAGTGAATAGATGCAACCAGAGCAGTGCCCTAGTATGAACAGATTGTGAAGCATGTCCAACTTGCATATCAACATTGAAAAAGTATGTGCTCATGACCAAGTTTATCCTATCTTAAGCTTGAAACAGCATATACCAAGATGCTATTAACTTCCATTATCCATGTATTATGCAATGTATGATTTCTTTGTTACTTATTAAACTTAGACTGTAATGGTAAATGATTATATTTTATCGATTAATATCCTTTGTAATTTACTGAGTTGTTGTTGTAAAATATGTTTTTCAATGTTAGCTGATCCATTTTTTAATGAAATTCATTTTATTGATTAAATTTGTTATTTGATCTAAATATAGCTGCAATCTCATTGGTCCAAACAGTAGTCAACAGAACTTTTTATAGAATTATATTCACTGGGTGTAGGATGAATTGGATTTTTCCAGTCTAAAAATAGATTGAGACTCCTATTCAATGAACATATATCGTAGACTATTATGCATGCTTATGAAAGAAATGATTGTTGCATTTTGTTCTTAATGGTTTATTTCTTGAATAAAATATCATTACTGTACTATTATACTTCAAAGTTGCACTGCAATGATAAGTATAAACTTGAATTACTTTTGTCTAGTTGTTGCACACTTTACTCCAGTGCTTCGACGAAACGGGCAAAAGTTGTACATGTATAAGGTTGTATTTTTTGTGATTTGTTTTAATTTTTGTAACCTATTCTATAATAAAACAATTTTTGACTAGTGTGCTATGAATATGATGTAATATTCACCGGCAGAAAGTCATATTGACCTCGGTTGATATGTCATATGCCGGTGAACAACACGTCATATACAATGACACACTAGTTAATAATTGTATAATAGCTCCTTACATAGTTTTAAACGCAATTAACAGTATGCCAGATGAAATCAACTGTTAACTGTTTTATTCTGTATACACTAAAGAAACAAAATAATTATTTACATTATAAATTATTTCTCTGAATATTTTTTTCGCTCACCAGCTGTGATCACAAAGTGACATGGTGAGCTTTTATGATTGCTTTTTGTCCTGCGTCTGTCTGTAAACTTTTACTTTAGATGACATCTTCTCATAAACCTCTAAACCAATTTCATCCAAACTTCAAAGGAATCAACTTTTGGTAGTCAACTTTAAAAGAATTTAATTCCAAGCAGACCTCTGGTTGCCATGGCCTTTTTTTTAGAAAACCAAAAGAGCTAGAGCTTAAATACTTGGCATGAAACATCAGCTAGTCAGTGTCTACCAAGTTTGTTCAAATGAATTCTGTGGGGTCAAAGTTGGTCCCGCACGGGGGGGGGTATGGTCATTGATTTTCCTCATTTGTATATTAATATAAACCTTAAAAAATCTTCTTTTAAAAACCCCAAATAGCTAAAGCTTAGATGTTAAGCATGAAACATCTTCTAGTGGGTTTCTACCAAGTTTGTTATAATAAAAGCCCTGGGGTAAAAATGGTCCCACCCTAGGTGGTCATTGATTTTCCTTATATGTATTTAGTAAAATTAGATAATAAGCATGAGACATGTAGTGGGTGTCTACCAAGTTTGTTCAAATAATAGCCCGGGGGTAAAAATTGATGCTCTAGGGGGCCATTGTTTTTCCCTTTATATATATAGTAAAAAACCTAATAAATCTACTTTTGAATAACCCTAAAGAGCTAGAGCTAAGATATATAGCATGAAACATCTTCTAAGTGATGTCTACCAAGTTTGCTCAAATAAGGGCCCTGGGGTTAAAATTGGCCCCGCCCTGGGGGTCATTGATTTTCCTTAAATTTGTATAGTAAAAGCTTAAAAAATCTTTAAAAAAAACCCAAAGAGCTAGAGTTTAGATACTAAGCATGAAATATCTTCTAGGGAGTATCTACCAAGTTTGTTAAACTAAAAGCCCTGGTGTCAAAATTGGCCCCTCCCAGGGGGTGTCATTGTTTTTCCCTATATGTATATAGTAAAAACTTAAAAAAATCTTCTTAAAAAAACCCTTAAGAGCTAGAGCTTAGATATTTATCATGAACATCTTCTAATGAATGTTTACCAAGTTTGTTCAAATAAAAGCTCCTGGTTTCAAATTGGCCTTGGCCCAGGGGCCTATATACAGGTTAGCGATTTCAGGGCCATCATAGCCCTCTTGTCTTGGATTAATGTCCGTATTCCTTCGTGATCTATATACATATATTTTCAATGTGGGAAATGATGTTAGTGTGACTGTTGGTTATGTGTGCCCCTAAAGGCTGTTGAAATTTTAGTCTATCAGTGAAATGAAAATATTAAAAGTGCAGGTGTCAATTGTTTAAACTCTTACTTGCATATATCTAGACAATAAAGGTTCTGATTCTAGTTTTGTTGTTTGTTGTTTTTTTTGTATATACATGTGTCTTGAAATACACGATATATATTAATATGTGATGGATATAGAAATTTTGATGTGGCAAGAGACGAAACCGTTCAGTCTAATTTAAATGACGTCCTGTCTAGTGATATATGGAATGGCATTGCTTGCTGCAAGATAGTGTTGGTTTATAATTAAAAGCATTCCCTGCCAAAACATGAAATTACCGTATATATGAGTGTAGGGTACATTGCAATTGGAAAACTAATATTCTCTCATTCATGAATCGAACTCTGGAGTGATAGGCGGACGTGTTATCGCGTCGCCACCGTCCAGGTAGGTCTGCCAAATCATCCATGAATTACTTTCTTAGGACATGGTCGTCTTTACACTCGGTATGACCTTGAACTTGGGCGCGACACAATCATCTCGGTGTGAATATTTGTGAAGGGTCATTTGAAATTCACGAATAACAAACTTCTTGCACGAACACGTGCATCTAATCACATTGTTAAAATATGCAGAACATTACTTATTCTGTGTGGCCTTGACCTTTTACCAACGAAACTGGGTCTTGCGCGCCACGTCTCGATTTAGTAAACATGTGTGACATTTTGAACCTCCTGTGGGTGACCAGGATATCACACATACCCGACTATACACTAGTATGGACAAGTATGCAGGACCAGATGAAATACATTTTTGTATACCCTTTACAAGTGTGACCTTTGAGCTTCGGACCAGGCGCGCAACATATCTTGATGAAGTGAATATTTGGTCAAGTACTTTCAAAATCCATCAATTAATGACTTACTTATGGCCTTCTATACACTATGTAACACATAGTGATACTTAACCTCTAAGCGTGATCTTGACCTTTGACCTACTTACTGGTCTGGGTCTCGGGTGTGACACATCGTCTTGATATGGTGAACATGGTTCCTGAACAACAAACTTCCGGGAAAGGACCATTTATTCATTATATGAAAATATGTAAAACATAATGACCTATAACCGCTAAGTGTGACCATCACATTTAAGGCACGGACCTGTATCTCGCCTTGATTTTGTGAACATTTGTGCCAAGTTATTTTTACCTCTGATTACTTAATGATACACAATTCTTGATCGTCCCAGGCCGTGTCACTATGATACATGACATCCCTGTGTCGGTAAGCACCAAGCCAAATATTTCTCTTAGCGTAAGAGGTATACATCGTCATGACAATGGTTAAGTGTTTATGTAATAATACAATAAGTAAACATCAAAATGATAGGGAGACTGTAATAAAGTTGAATTTTCTTATTAACAAACTTTTGGAAAGCTACTTTTGAACAATATCAATGAGTGAGAGTAGGTACGATGTTTTAAATTGAAATGTATTTACATTCTTTTTATATTTTTGCATGCTAACCAAACATAAAGTTCAATTTTTATTTCTCTGACAACTGTCGTGTTCAACATTTGATGATTATGCTAACAGAATATAATGCAAATATGCATTATATTGATTGACCTAATGTGACGAGTGGTGTGCTTTTACTTAAACCAGTCAGTCGCCGAAGATTTTTGTGTGGAATCAAATCAAATAAATCGGTGCTTCTGATTCTCCCCCGTGCCTTGAAATCTGTCCTAACGACAAATTATCAAGTACGATGAATAATTTGCCGTAACACATGATCAAAAAGATTCATTGAAACTAAAATATAAAAAAGTATCAACATAAAAGTAAATCTTCAAATATATTTGAATGCGCCTTTATTAGTAACAAACATAGGAATTCAGAGGTGAAGGATTCTAGAACTCCCAGCCCATCTTATTCTTACCAAGATCTTTCATGGTAACATCCACAGCGTTTTGGAGCACATCTGATTTTAAACTTTATTATACTAACGTTTACCTTACTTTCATCAGCATACTATCTGCTAAACCTAAATCGATGGACTTTGAAGCCAAAAGTCAATACCGTGGGGTCACAAAAGATTTGTTGGTTCATATGTATATACACTATAAGTCACTGCATTTGTATGTATACACCATGCAAGACACTACCTGTTCTAATGAATTTACTGATTCCCCATTGTCCCAGAGACCTCTGTTTTAGACTCGGACTGACACATGCAATCAGGACTGGACAATCTTAAAGTTAATGAATAACACAGATAGGAGTATATTGTTAAAACTTGCAGTATTCTGTAAAAAAATTATTTCAGCATTTAAGTAACTGATAACTAAGCTTATTTTCACAATGTAACATTTTTATTTTTGATTTATATTTGCCATGTAATACATCAGCATATTTCGTGGATACCTCTTTATATGTCATACTATATGTATATATTATTGTATATGTGACTGATGCCTCTATGAGGCCCAGTATTTTCAATAAACTGTTCAAACTGTTTAAACATTCCTTTAATAATTTTGTGACTTGCACTTCAAGGTTGTATCTTGAGTATATGAGGACTGTTTTTTACTTGATGCAGAATGCGTATATTCAGTAATCATCATTCAAAATTTCATACCATTTTCATGAACGTTTTCAAATTATCATAAATTTGGCAGATGTGGTGTTGGAAGTTTCTTTGAGGGTACAAGTCACGACATTCTATATAAGTAAACACACTGTGCAAATCACTACATCTGAACATGTATGCATAAACACTATGCAAGTCATATTTGTATGTATTTCTTAAAAAAAAAACACAAAAAACTTATATATACTCAAAAAAGTAACGCAACACCTAAACAGGCTAAACTGTTCTCCTTTTTTTTTCTAACGTACGTAATTTGAAAATTTATTTGACTGCCTTATGTTTCAATAAACCATTGCACAAACAAAAGGTTATAAAGCAAAAGATTACGAATATTTATTGCAGTCACAAGGCTAACTCTTGGTGGGCCAAAAATACCAGAACATTTTATATCATGTAATCTTGCAAATTAAATTGTAAATTTTGCAAATCATTGATCTATTTTCTTTCGTCGATATAAATTGTGCGCGAAGACAATGTTCAGCTGTAACGTTGATTACATCCAATGTGATGAGGTGAAACATATTCGTCCACGAGCCGTACGCTGCCCGGCTATACTGCGAGCACGGTAAATATATTGAATTACACAAACACAACAACTGTTTTACAGATCTCGACTGATATTCTTTTAGAATGCATCTACTTTCTCCAAGAAAGGCGTGTAAGTACAGTAATTGTCAGGATATAAATGTGATCAACAAGCCATTATGCCAATCTTTATTAATTTCATGCATATATACCAACTATATATTATATCCTTTACGATGTTCAATAATATTCAATGAATATCGGTAAAATTAATGTGAACAATTTACCGAGCAGGACCGGCCAAAGAAATGTTCAAGTGGGATGCACGTGCTTTTACGATATTTAAGATTAATGTTAGCTACTAATCTAGATACTAGAGGGGCTGGGGGAAACGTTTCTGAATTTTGTGTCTAAAATTGTGGCCTCTGATGCGCGCGAAAGTAACATCTTGGCAATTATTAAAACTTAAATATTATATGTATTAAGATATTTACATTAATCATTTAAATTCGTGCTACTCTCGTAATCGATAATTGTCTTCAAAAATTTACATTTTATCATCTGTTTCGTATAAATTACACGGGAGTTTCCAAATGTAAACAAGCTTGTCCTTTTCGGCATTTGTTAAAGATTAGAGGCATTTTTAAGAATGAAATCTATACAAGAAGCTTTTGATTTATTTTCCTATCTTTAAGAACCATAATAACACAGTATGAAATAGGCCACCAAGCAGCTAACGTCACACCGCTAGGCCCGTCAACTTCACGCTGTTATACCGCCAGGCCAATTGGCCGTCAACTTCACGCTGTTATGCCGCCATGTCGATTGGACGACAACTTCACGCCGCTAGGGCCGCCAACTTCACGCTGTTATGCCGCCAGGTCAATTGGACGACATCTTCACGCCGCTAGTACGCCAACTTAACGTACATGATTTACAATTTATCACCTATTTATTTTCGTGTGTACTAAATAAATCTCAAAACGGTCAACTTGTTTGGTGAATCTTTTTAGTTTTCAAGCCTCGTTAATGTGTTGCCTGTGGTCAAATATCATGTTGCCTGAGGTTAAATACCAGTCATTTTGGGGCATTCTGGCGTATTTAAGTACCAGGTTTAACGAAAATACTTAAGTTTTGTCTTAGTAACATACTCATTTCAGTCTACCATATAGATCAACGACAAAGTAAATATATTTACAGTTTTTATCCTGTTGAGTGGCTTTTTCTTCTCAATTGGCATTGCAATAATTGTTTATATAGTGCTTTCGTAAAAAGAGTTTTAGAGAATGAAACGTATTTGAGTCATTAATAAGAGACTCAAGTTATGACTCAGCTTACTTTTTGCATATTGGAATTCGGTAAAACTATTAGGAAGCCTAAACAAAGCCACTATATGAAAGAATCAGAATGGATAACTTAACCTATGTACTCATACGAGTCAAAAAATTTTGTTTTTGTTTTTTTTTTCTCGAGAAACCGGTGCTTGAACCGAATTTAATTTCGCTCAATTTGAATACATGTACAGTATCATATTTTGAATGTTGCTTTTCAATTTATCATTTTTATTATCTATTTATGCCCCAAATAAACATTTTTGTCGGGATCCAGAAGAACAAATAAGCTATTTTAATCCAAATGCATTATTGTGAGGTATTTAAGTACCATTGTCCCGCTTAGTATCACTCTGTAGAAATTTTTGTTTTATGTTTTAAGTGATGATTTACAATATATTGTGGGTGCTTCATTTCCTTTGCCGGGCGACTTGTTGACGGACCATACGTGCCCCATTGTATTAGTTAGGTGTACACCTAGGATAATACTAAAAATGGTAAATTTGTAACATTTTCCCGTTTAATATCGCTCTGACAAGTATAATTTTGGCGCTCCATGTTTCAAAATTTATCGTTGCAATAGCATGTATGCCCAATGAATTTCAAACTGTTTTA